GTTGAGATTTGATTTTATGTGAGAGCTTTTTACTGTAGTAAAAAAGTTAAATTTGACTGTTTCTGAAAGTTTTTTACCATATTAAAACTAAAATTCTAAACTCAAATCGATAAAATTAACTATTTTTAAAAATAAAGAGAGTATTGCAAACCACAATTTTAAGAAAGGTATTGATGAAATGCCCATATACTACGTTTCTTTTTTCAGATAAGAGAAGAACACGCTTTCTAAGACGTAAACTTGCTTTATTTTGAATTGAAGTTTGGGGCTAGTTGTGTCCCTCTTACGCTCTCCATAGCAGTGTGGTTGACGTTTGTCAATTATTAATGGTTTGTTTAGTTCAACAATTTAAAATTATGAAGATTTGAATCTTTTTAATTAGAACTATAAAATTTAAATTGTGATCTGAATTGTTATTTAAATTTGTAAATAAATTGTAATTTGAATTGACAATAAAATCCGAACTATATTTGAATAAAGTGTTGAAAATTATCATTAAAGTTTTGTAACAAATATTATAAAACCTTATTATAAATAATATTAAAAAATATGCAATATGGATGGAGATTTGTTTCTCTTTTCATTATGAACACATTAAAAAAAATCTCAATCAGAATTTAAAAAAAAATTATGACATTTTTAAGATTGAAATTGAAAAGAGAAAAAAAGTGAAATTAGAAACTATTTGACTGTTGACAACCATTCGAACGATTAGAATTTAGGGGGAAAGTGAATTTTAAAATTAACAATTTAATTGTCCTTGAACTATTATTAATGGTTTGAATTGTTTTTAAATTTTTATCTCTTAAATATTAATTTAAATTCTAAATAACAGTTTGAGTTGTTAAAACAAGGGCCCGTTTAGTTCACTGATTCGAGTTTAGATGTGACTTTATGTGAGAGCCTTTTACTGTAGTAAAAAAGTTAGATGTGATTGTTTGTGATAGCTTTTTACCGTTATAAAATTTAAATTCTAAACTCGAATCAACGAAATAAACGTGACCTAAGTTGTAAACTTTTGAGGGGAACAAACAAATGTGAGGATTATTGTTACGAGAAAATGAACAAAACAAGGGGCATTTTGGTCAATTTAACATATTTTCCCGAGAATTTAAAGGCGCAAACATCGGCACTTGGGTATTTTCTTTCTTTCTTTATTTTTTAGAATGAAGAAATAGCATGTGCTCTTGTAGCATTTATAGTGCAGAAGGGATGTCTTACATGCATTCATTTTTACAAATTAGAGGTACTCCTTTGTATATGACATATGTAGACCCCACTTTACAAAAGAGAGAAGTGGGACCTCCTCATTCAAAGTTTATAATGAAGCGGTCATTTCAGAATCTTTGACAGATGCCATATGTGATCTGATAGAGGCTTATTATTGAAAGACTTTGATTTCAAAATTTCTCTTTTTTTTTTTTTTTTTGCCCTTTAAAATGGAAAAAAAGAAGAGGCCCTAACAACACTACCAACAATCCTACGTGTCCAAAGTGGTCCCTGTCTTAATGCGGCACATCATAATTCATAACATTAAAATTCTCTCACTCATCCTGTGCCCACGGTATGAGTGAATAGACACAAGGCTTTCCTTATCTTCCTATCTCCATTCTTATTCCCACTTGCCATAATTTAAGTTTTGCTAAAATAATTTTGATAGACCCCAGTTTGGAAAGACAATTATTGATGCAAACTAGATAGAGATGGTCCGTTCATTTCGTTGATTCGAGTTTAGAATTTAAATTTTTTTTATAGTAAAAAGTTCTCACAAATAATCACATTTAACTTTTTTGTTATAGTAAAAAACTCTCACATAAAGTCACATCTCAACTCGAATTCTAAACTCGAATCACTGTAGTGAACGGAGGCGCCTTTTAGAGTAAAATTTTAAAAAAAATTGCATTTAAATTCTAATTTTATTTAAATTTATATTTGTTTTTAAACTTTTATTTTAAATTTGAGTTTGAATTCAAGTTTTACTTTGAGTTTGGAGTTAAAATTTGAGTTTAAATTTTTCCTTTAATTCAAGCGCTTAAACTCAAACTTAAGTTAATGAACAATATTTTTTTATTATTAAAAACGTCGTAACTTTTTCGTTTTAATTCTGATTGAGATGATTCACAACGAAAAGATGAATAAAATTTCACCCACATACCTATTAAAACTTTTCAACACTATTGAGTTTTTATTAAAATACCATTTAAATACAAATTCAAGTTTTGACTCACTCAAACACAAATTCAAATAGATTCTCAATTCAAATCATAACTTAAATGTGTACATCTAAACACAAATTCAAGTTATAACTTTAACTCAAATTATAACTCAAATTTAACTCAAGATCTACACTCAAATCACCATAACTCAAAAATACAACTGAATAAGCCCTAGTCACGACACTGTAGTAGCCTTTTCCATTTGAAAACGACGTCGTATTCTCTGCTTAATCCACTATTAAATGAGACCTAATTTTGTTTTAAATCATATATACACATTTTTGTTGCTATTTTTTTATTTTATTTTTGTTGGGTCTTACTCAACAAACAGTAGCTGCGATTTTCGGCTTTTGAGTCTCTCTCTCTCTCTCTAACGGAAGGGAAGGGAAGAAAAGAAAGTGAGAGAAAGAAAAGAAAATGCCGAAAAAAGCTTTTCCCTTTTACCAAACAAAGGGAAAACCAAAGTTAAAGTAGGAATTTTTATTTGGATTCCACAGCCTTTGATCTCGGTCTCCTCTTTCTCGCCTCGTTTGTCTTTGATTTGGGTCCGGCAAATTCAAGCTTCAAGTGAGCTGGGTCTCTTCCCATTTTCTCTACCTCCCTTTGTTTCTTTCGTTACGGTATTTTGGCATTTTATTGGAGAATTGAGTGGACTCTTGTGGATTTCGTCACCTTTCTGGTAGAGATCCTACGTAACCATTTTATGGAGTTTGGTCTTTTTCTAGTTTTAGTCCTTTGTTTACTATACTATATATAGAGAGTAATAATATTTGTTGTGACAAATATATATAGTTTCCCATACCCCAGTTGTTCATTTCTGAATTTGAATTAACGGGAAATTTTGGAAGATTCTGCCTTTTTGTCTGCGTGTGAGAATAAAGCTTAATTCTTTTATTGATTTTGGGAAATTTTGGTGAGTGCCCATATGGATGTTGTGTGTTTTGTAATTTTTTCATTTTTGTTTCTGTAGAAATTGTGTTTCTGGATGGAGAAATTTTGTTATCTTTAGAGTTGTGGAATTGAGATCATTTATAGTCCCAGATTTTTTTTTTTTTTTTGGTTTTTGTGTATGTTTGAGTTTTGGAAGAGAGAAACCTAAGAGAGGCTGTTGTGGAGATCTGGGAGTTGTTTCATCTGTTATGCCCTATGAGGACTTTCTTTCCCTCTGAGTCTTGTAAAGATACACAGCTCAGTGCTTTAAATCCACAGTCATGGCTACAAGTTGAAAGAGGAAAGCTTTTTAAAGCTTCATCAAACTCCTCTTCTTCTTCTCCTTCCTCCTCATCTATGTAAGTCATTTCTCACCATTCATCTTTTCCCTTTTTTTTTCAATATGAATGAACTATGTTTAATGGTTAAATTGAGATCCTAAAAATTTTTTCCCTTTTGTTGTTTGGGATGTGGGTGCTCAAAATATTGTAGAGAATCTCTTATCAAGGTCCCTGAGCCTGCCATACTTCCATTTTTTAAACCTGTTGATTATGTAGAGGTTTTAGCGCAAATTCATGAAGAACTTGATTCGTGTCCTCCACAAGAACGGTCGAATCTGTATTTGTTACAATTCCAGGTCTTTAGAGGCCTTGGAGAAGTCAAACTGATGCGGAGGAGCCTCCGTGCTGCTTGGCAGAAGTCGAGTACCGTTCATGAAAGGCTTGTTTTCGGAGCGTGGTTAAAGTATGAGAAGCAAGGTGAAGAGCTTATATCCGACTTGCTTGCAGCCTGTGGTAAATGTGCACTAGAGTATGGACCGATAGATGTTGCCTCTGAGCTTCCTCTCACTCTAAACTCGAGTTCCTTTGAGACGATGTCTATGATTGGGAACCAAATTTTGACAAATGTTGTTTTTAGAATTGGAGGTGAGAAAATAGTTTGTGATAGGAAGAAAATATCAAGCCTTTCAGCTCCATTTCATGCCATGCTCAATGGATGTTTCACGGAATCACTCTGTGAGGACATAGATTTGTCTGAAAACAATATCTCTGCATCAGGTATGAGAGCAATCAATGAATTCTCTATGACAGGTGATTTAAGTGAAGCCTCTCCAGATCTTTTGTTGGAAATATTGGTTTTTGCAAATAAGTTTTGTTGCGAAAGGCTGAAAGATGCTTGTGATAGGAGACTTGCATCTTTGGTCTCGTCTAGAGATGATGCTGTGGAACTTTTGGAATATGCTCTTGAGGAGAACTGTCGCATCCTTGCTGCATCGTGTTTGCAAGTTTTCTTAAATGATCTTCCAAACTGTTTAAATGACAATAGAGTGGTGGAAATATTCAGGCATGCTGATAGACAACAAAGATTAATAATGGTTGGGCCAGCGTCATTTTCGCTCTACTGTTTGTTAAGTGAAGTTGCGATAAACCTTGATCCTCGTTCAGATACAACAGCTTGTTTCCTGGAACGGCTGGTAGAACTTGCGGAAAATGACCGGCAGAAAATGCTGGCTTTCCATCAGTTGGGATGTGTGAGGCTCTTGAGAAGAGAGTATGATAAAGCAGAACATCTTTTCGAGAAAGCTTTAAACGCAGGCCACATTTACTCTGTTGCAGGTTTAGCTAGGTTAGCTAACATTAAGGGTCAAAATCTTTGGGGATACGAGAAGCTCAGCTCTGTAATTTCCTCAATACCCCCACTCGGATGGATGTATCAAGAGAGGTCGTTATACTGTGAAGGTGACAAGAGGTGGGAAGATCTTGAGAAAGCTACTGAATTGGACCCAACTCTTACTTACCCTTACATGTATCGCGCTGCTTCCTTAATGCGAAAAGAAAACGTTCAAGCTGCACTTGAAGAGATTAATCGGATTCTTGGATTTAAACTAGCACTCGAATGCTTGGAGCTACGATTTTGCTTTTATCTTGCTCTTGAGGATTACCAATCAGCTATTTGTGATGTCCAAGCAATTCTCACTCTCTCTCCAGAGTATAGGATGTTTGAGGGACGGGTGGCAGCATCCCAACTCCGAACTCTTGTGTGTGAGCATGTTGAGAATTGGACAACTGCAGATTGCTGGCTGCAACTATATGATCGGTGGTCATCTGTGGATGATATTGGATCTCTCTCTGTCATCTATCAGATGCTTGAATCTGATGCAGCAAAAGGTGTTCTGTATTTTAGACAGTCATTGCTTCTCCTCAGGTACACCCTGGATTGATTTTTTTTGTTACATTGATTTTTTTTGTTACTTCGTGCATTTCGTTTGTTCCAGGAAACCTAGAATGTTCTCAATTACATTGACAGCAATATTAGTAAATACAACATATTGGCATTTGTTGCCTTTCACAGTAGAATTCTCATGTCTATAGTTGATCAGGTTAAACTGTCCTGAAGCAGCCATGCGGAGTCTACAATTAGCTCGCCAACATGCGTCCAGTGATCATGAACGGCTGGTCTACGAAGGCTGGATCTTATATGACACTGGTCATTGCGAGGAAGGATTACGAAAAGCCGAGGAGTCTATTGAAATCAAGAGATCGTTTGAGGCCTTCTTCTTAAAAGCTTATGCACTGGCCGATTCTAGTCAAGATCCATCTTGTTCGTCAACTGTTATTTCTTTGCTTGAAGATGCCTTGAAGTGCCCCTCAGACAGGCTGCGTAAAGGTCAGGTATGGTTTTTCTGTCTTAGCCCTCAACTTACATACATAATGGTATTCCAGTTGTCATGAGCACATACTGTCATCTTCAGAAAGAAAAATGCCAACGTTAGTTGACAGACGAAACAATTGTAGATTTGATGTTGTTAGGAGAAATTTATACACGTGTATGCAGCACCTCAATTTTTCACTCAAAAAAAAAAAAAAAAAAAAAAAAAAAAAAAAAAGGTTTTTTTTTTGGGAAAAAAAAAAAAAAAAAAAAAAAAAAACAAAAAGGATTTGTATTAGGTAGAACAGAAATATTTGTCCCTATAAAATATTTGTTTTACAAGGTGGTTGCCAGAGTAGAATTTGTGTTGTTTCCTGGAGGGTATTTCCTTGTATAAAAGTCTGGGTGCCTCTACATTTAATATCCGATTTTGATCTTAGAGAGGTTAATGTAGATAATGTGTCTTTTGTTTTTTTTTGGTTCTTTTTTTTGAAGGAGCCCAAGTATGCGATGGTTGACTTTTACAGTTTTACTCGCATAAAAACAGGAAGGCCGCTAAACGATTTTTGACCTTTTTCCTTGCCCTTCAATTTTGATTTGTCAGGCGCTGAACAATCTTGGTAGTGTTTATGTTGACTGTGGGGAGTTAGACCAGGCAGCAGATTGCTACATCAATGCTCTCAAAATCCGGCATACCCGAGCTCATCAGGGCCTTGCTCGGGTACATTTTCTCAGAAATGATAAGGCTGCGGCTTACGATGAAATGACTAAACTGATTGAGAAGGCTCAGAACAATGCTTCTGCCTATGAGAAGAGATCTGAATACTGTGATCGGGAACTCACGAAGGCAGACCTGGAGATGGTTACCCAATTAGATCCACTTCGGGTTTACCCTTACAGATACCGCGCTGCAGGTCAGAGTCCTATTAATCTCTGTGAATACAAGCCTGCCTAATGGTTTTGCCATGGGATAAAATTAATTTAGTACTTTGTATTACAACAAAACATGTTCTTAATATCATGTGTTTTTAATAATATTAAAATGGTATCTCGATGTTTTTTAAAATATCTTCTTAGTATTCTGAAGTTGATTTTTAGGACATGTAATGTCCAAACTACCCTTATTAATTAGATAGAAATCATTTTTTTTTAAAACAACAAAATATTTAAAAAAAACAAAAAAAAATTTATTTTTCTTTTTCCTGGATTTATTAGTTTTAGTCTCAAAATTCAGTTTCAAGTTATTAAGAATATGTTTTTAAAAACGTCGGGGCATTATTTTAATATTATTAAAAATACATGGTACATAAGCATATTTCGCTGTAACACATTATCAAAATGATTTTATCCCTTTTGCCATTAAAAAAAGTTGCAAAAAATATTGCTCTTTGCGACAAATAATTGATAAACAATTTGCGCATCACTTTTGATTGCGACTGTTCCTCAAGTCGTGGAAGCGTCGATAAAAACTAATTTCCATTATTGTGCAGTTTCGTTTTTGTTTTTGGCTGGTTGTTGGGTAAAAACCAAAACAAGCCTCGTTTAGCAGGTATTGAAGTTGACGCGTTTTTGTTTGTGATTTAAACAGTGTTAATGGACAACCACAAGGAAACAGAAGCGATTGCAGAGCTGTCAAGGGCAATAGCATTCAAAGCAGATCTTCATCTTCTACACTTGCGGGCCGCATTCCATGAGCACGTTGGGGATGTGTTGGCTGCTTTGCGAGACTGTCGAGCTGCCCTCTCCGTCGACCCCAATCATCAAGAAATGCTGGAACTTCACAGCCGGGTAAACAGCCATGAGCCTTGAATGTGGGAAAATGAAAAAAACAAAACAAAAAGGAAATTGTGTCACCACCATGTATACTAGAATGTGCATGTAACGTCTCATGTCATATCTATTTTGTTTTATGGGCTCCAAGTTTTGGTCCAAGAGTTATTGGTAATATAATTTAATGTCCATCCATTCTCTCAGTTCTAGATTTCATAAGACGCTGTACATTTTTTCTGGCTAAATATGAAGCTGCTACAGATACGAGAGTATTAAAATTTACATCCACTGACTATAGAAATTAGATTGCATCGTCAAGTTCCCATTTGCGTAGTAGAGAGAGTCACCCGCGTGCGCGAGGGAACAGCTGGGTCCCACGCGGAAGAAGAGAGAGCTGGGCTTACACGCACGTGGAGAGAACTCGCGATCTGGGGCCTGGCGTGCACGAAACGCACGTGAAAGTGTGGGGAAATCACGGGGGACGGCCGCAGAAGATGCCACGTGGCGCGGCTTGGTGGAGTGGCTTGAACGGCTAGGCTTGTTGATGGGCCAATTTATTTCTCTCCGCGAATCTGTGTGCGCCATGTGTACCAGTTGTTGCACTCAATTTTTCCGGTTTTAAACATTTCTGATGGTTCTTTCTCCACCATTATCAGCTTTTATTCTCAAAATAAAGCCTTGTAAATCCAATTTAAGTGGATTAGAATGTTCTCTCTTTGTTTTTATTTCTCCTTTGCTGAATGTTTTTTCTTATGCCCTAAAAGCTCTATAAATAAAGTCTTTGTCAAGGTGATTAAGTTGTTGATTTTTAACCTAAGCTTAGACACTTTTTCTCTAATTTTCTTGCGCTTATTCTCATATTTTCTAGAGTTCTTTGGTGAGGTTAGAGAGAAATCTATATGTGAAGTGATTTGAGTGGATTTTAATTCTCCATTTGTTCTCTAAAGTTTATATATTTGAGTGATTTATTTTCTTCTATTTTTTTCTAATTTCTCATATTGATATATTTTATTGTCAACTTTTATATGAATTTAGTCATGCTCTTTTTATGTAATTGTTGCTCAATATAATTATATTGATAATATTATTTTATGAGTAGTCTTTTATTACAATATTACCAACAGTATATAGTCGCTTTAAGATTTTTTGTAAGAATAATATTTATTAGGTTTCAACGTAAGAATTTTACTCACTCGAATACATTTTAATTCACATGTTCTTTGAATATTTATTTTTCGATTGTTAGTTTATGATGTGAAACTTTCAATTGAGTAATCTTAAAAATCAAAATCCATTAGAGTGAACAAAGCATATAAGGAAATCTCGACACCTTACCGGTTTTAATTTCATAATTTTCTCATATATTTTTCTTACGCTTAAACTTCTCAACAAAAATTCATTCTCTTTTATTTTGATTTTATTATTTATCTCCTCGCGCTTTTTATTTACTAATCGTTTCTTGTTTAATTTGTCTCCTCTTGTGGATACGACCGTCCTAACTGTGCTACCGCGACCGTTTTATTTTCAACACCTTTTAGCATAATCAAATTTTGGTGATACTTAACAACTGATATCGCCATGTAAATTAAAAATACTTGTAAAAAATCCAACTTGAAATGTCAACATGAAAAAAGATGCAGTTATTTCTTCATCATACGCCAATAACTCTTTTTTTGCTAATCAAACTCCAACTTTTCAGCAAAAAAATATAAAATTAAAAAAAAAAAATCAAACTCTAGTAACTCATAACAACTACTTCCACCAATAAATAGCGATTCACTTGCTGATGTAACTTATCAGTAATTTTACATTTACATATTGTGTTTGAGGTTATATGTTCAAATTCTCTGGTCCCAAGTTCAAACAATAAAAAATAAAAAATTTTGCTATAAAAAGTAGTACCTCAGTCAACAGCCTCATCGTTGTGGCTAAAATGGCAAGCTCATATTGGCAGAATAGACAGCAATCCAATCCTATCACATTTAGCTCGGAACCAGAGTTAGTAAATTCCTATAGTCCATCAGTCTGACACTCGGCCAGTGGCGTGCGCACTGCCAGGAGGCACAACTCACGATTCACAAGGAAATGGAATCTCGATACCGGTCAAAAGTAAATACAGGAAAATGGAATCTTTCTTATACCTTCTTGTATTTTGCACTTTTTTGTTGTCGTTGAAGCGGGTCTCCGACATGTTCCCTATCCTAAAATTTTTTAATTCCTTGTCTGAAAATTTTGGTTTAAGTGACCCAAATACGTATGAAACCTTCATTTTTGATCCATTTCGAAACAGGAATATCTAGATTCCCTTCAATAGAAAAGAAAAATAATTAGTTAGAGTATATTCTTTGTGCACTTGGTTACATAAAGGGTTAATTTCAAATTTGACCCAAAGAATAGGATTTATCTCACTTTACCTTCTACAATTCAAAATGAGACAAAATCCCCTCAAATTTATTATAAATTGCACCTTTTGTACTTTATTATTGAGGTGTCAATTAAACAAACGGCTTTATCACGTGTGAGATTGATTAGTGAAAGGCAACCTTTTTTTTTAAAGGAATTAATCACATATGGATTCCTCAATGATTAAATCTAATTACAAATTATTAAAAATACTAAAGTCTTGTGACAGAAGTGCCACAGTTGCAAATTATGATAGACATGAAAGGAAATTTTATGCGATTTTGAGTTGTAAGGACAACGTGGGACAACTTCTATTGAGGGTCAAATTTGTAATTAGCCCAAACGTGAAGCTTTTACCTTTATGCGGACAAAAGAAGTTCATATTTTGTAAAATGGTGAATGAAGTGCATTGTTTGAAGAACTCATCCTTTGGGAAGAGGTTGGAAATAAGGATGCTGCAAAGCCTCGTCGACACTCAATCTCTCCTGCTGCAATCCCAAAAGAACAATTTGTGTCAATCCTAGGCATTCATCCCATCGTAGGGGATGAATTGGAAGATATATTAAAATCGTGAAATTCATATGTTATAACTTTTAATGTAAAACAGAAGGAATGGAAAATTAGAATTTAAAGGATGTAACAAGTCTAAGACATGTAAGGAAAAATGCTGCACTGTCGATTTGCCGCACATTCATAAAACTTACAGGGTCCCAGAGCAATAGATGTCGCACTAGCCGCAAAAGCCAAACATTGGGGAACCTGTAGGCATTTACGGAGAGTTAGATAACAGACGATGCCAAGCACAGAACATGGATATAGCAATAGAGAGTTCATCTAAAACTAACCCTAATTTAAGTGGATCTCTACTCTTAATTTGATAGGAAAAGAATTCTTCTGAGCATTTCCAGGAAGCTGGTGACACGCCAACCTGATCACACAAGATATCTCATTTGTTATATATAAACCAGATTACCTGCACAAGGCTAATTTGATTTAAACCAAGAGTTTCTATAGAAAAAGGAATGAAGAAAAACAGAAAAAGAAAAAAGTGAATGTGTATACATGTACAAAACATAAAACTTTCTACAAAACACATCCTCCAATCCCGATGGGTTAGAAAGTTAACTACCCACTGACATTTTGTATGAACGAAAATCAGTTCACGCCAAGGAAAAAAATCTCACTAACTTGCAAGAGTTTAATTTCACGTAGGAAAATTCCACGTTAGTTCAGCATTCTGTACCCTTGACAACAAGTTTTGGCATAAAGGATATTACGCATTATTAAGTTAGTAACAGAGCTCAAAAAAGTCCAATCATTTACTAATTAACTGTTTTTCTATTCTTAATAACAAAAAACTTTCCACTAAATCCACCACTTGAACGACTCACAAACAACACAAACCCTGAAAGCATTAAGCAGTTACTAATTTCAATTTTCTGTTTACTTTTTAACAGAATAAGATGGTACACTTACTCGGTGATGATTTGAAGAATCCCCATGGACTAAAATACACAGCTCCATAAATGACCGAAGTCTGGGAAAAAAAAAAACAAAATAAAACAAAAAACAAAACAAAACGAAAAAACAAAAAAGAAACGAATAAGTCTAACAATCATCATCCTTGAAACATGTACTTCCACAACATAGAGAACAAGTATCCGGAACAGGTTCCCAAGGGCAAACTCACTTATATGCAAGCTCCTTTAAATTGTCATTCCAACCTTCTAAATGCTGGTCTAAGAGAGAACGTGTATAAGCACTAATCTGAAAAACATTTGGCGAGCCTAAGACCAATTCTAAGATCACAACACCGACACTCCACATATCATACCTGTCAAATATATCAGAGTATGTTCATCAAAGGGGAAAAAACTATATTCTGATGGGTACATGAAAAATCCTTATTTAAAATTAGTATATGCACTCCACATACTTCAAATTTGTGCTTATTGGCCCCTGATGCCAACTAGCATTCAATAAAGCCTCAGGAGAAGTGTACTCGTTAGTTTGTTCAGCCCTGGAAGACACGCAAATATCTATGTATCATGAACGACATGGATAATGACAAGCAAATATGTTGCAAAGAAAGTGGCTACCAAAAGTAAACAAGATACCTCGAAGGTCCAGTAGAACCGTACAAATGCTTCAGTGTAAACTCGTCCATAGCACTTCCAAAGTCGATTATGCGCCTAGATGATTGATATTACAATCACTTGGTTACATAGCAAGCACAAAAAGAACCTTTGATTACAAAAAAATTACACGCCAACTATGCAAAATAGAATTTTCAAAGCATTTAGTTTTAGCTAGAACAAAACCCCAAGAATGAAAACGACCTTTGTGAAAAGCTTTACAATGTCAAAATCTTGTGCTCTGATAACCCTTTTAGTGCAAGGGAAAAATAATGGTGCACATAAATTATTGTAAGTTGGAGTACTACACAAGTAAAGTTCCTCTCTAGCTGTATTTGAAAAATAATATACATAATTCACAAGAGCTGCAGAAAGAAATAATTAGTTTTGCTCTTTAAACTTTGATCTTGCTACACTGGGTACGAAACTACAGCCGTGGTAAGTGGCTAATTACTATTTACTATATTCACTGTCACCTCTATCAGACAAAATTTACGGTGGATAAGGCATTATGAAAATTTTAGGAAACATTAACCAAAAGAGATTCTTCGTAAAATTTTCTCTAACGCAGTACATCTTGACGCCAACTAAGGATTTGATAGGTATCATGCAAAAGAAATCACAGATAACATAGTAAAGCCATACGAATTACTCAACAATACATTTCAGTGGTGAAGTTACTATCTCCATTTGGAATCTCATTCAAACATCTTCCAGTTTTCTGATCTTTGAAGCATACCACCATGTTCTCTACATATAATAGCACCAACAAGGTTAGTGCATTCAGAGAACCAAAATCAATTTGATTTTGAAAATAGATGATAACAGAAAATGAGAGAGAACCCTTGGACCAACACAAAGTCAGCTTATATAGGACATATCTAAGGCCATCCTTTCAACATTCGAAATAATACAGAGTTAACAAAGTAAATAAAGAAAAACTGTACGGCCATAGATGAGAACACATCTCACCAGGTTTGATATCTCTGTGGGTGATATTGCGGTCATGACATGACTTGAGCGCCATCAACTGAAGAAACAAAGAAGTTTAGGTATCCATAAGACTAGCATTAGCCAAAAACTAACTGCATAAAACTGGAGAAGATTACTGAGGGAGGGTGGGTGGGTTGGGGGGGGGGACACTAAGCTGAATATACTTAAGTGCACACACACACGTATGTGAGACTGCCTACTGGAAACCAAAAATGGCTAGTCTCATAGCAGAGGAATGACAAACGTTCGAACCAGAAACTTAAAATGCAAGAAAGAAGTTTCACACACATTATCTGCCAAAACTTATAATAAATTATAATAATAATAATAATAAACACCTATGTAAGATATCGCCTTTTTTATGCGTTAGTAGAGAGTCATACTAGACTCAAATCAGATACTTTATTGCAGACATACCAACTGCCATATAAGACTTCGCATCTCGTCTTGTCCTGCTGCTGTCGTCTTCAACCAATGCCACCATTTCGATGGATGCAACATCTGGGCAGTCTTCCCGTTCCCCGCACTTTCCTCACTGGAAGTTTTATCTACTTCTTCCAGAGTATATAAAAGCTTTGACAATGACACGCCCTCGTATCGAAATACAAGCCATATTTCATTAGCTCGAGATTCAAAAGATTCTACAAATCTAGCAATATGATTCAAACCTTCTTCATAGAAACCCCTCCGCAGTCTAAATTTGTCTTGCATCATATTTTCAAAGCTCCAACTGTTACCTATCCCACATACCACGGATTCATCAGTTTCTATTATGTCATAGAAACCTAACTGTGATTCTTTCAGGAGAGAGCTTAAAGCTCCAGCTGATGGTAAACCACCAACACACTTTGAAGCATTCAGAAAGACTTCTCCAAAATATTTCTCACGTAGGCCGCTTAAGTAAACAGGAGCCCCTCTCTCCACCTGTTTATATAAACAATTATCCAATGAATCAGTGAGTTATATCTTAAAAGAACTACGAATACTTCAGAAATTTTATCAATCTAAAAGAATATTTCATGGTTCAAAAGAAAACCAATACTTCGTAATGATAAATGTTCAATTTCAAGGTATTAATATCAGTAATACACTTCTTATAAGCCATTTCCCAAAAGTTCTATATTAAGTCATTAATGTTAATTATGAGTGAAACTATTATGTTGAGAAATTTTTCATATAGTATCAGTATTTCTTGAACTTTGGCTGTGGTAACCATCGGCAATTGATGACCTGCAAATAGAGTCATCCTGCTGACTAAAGCACTTCTAATTAAAGGTACAACTTTGATTTGACAAAATAATTACCATTATACGTTTCAAAATGAACAATTTGTCATCAAGGGGTCCAGAGTGACATTCGTGAATAAACGAGCTAGTATTCCTCATTTGTGAGCCAAATGGAATAGAATTAAATGATCCATTATTGTTGCTCCCACTCCCATCTGAAGAATTGCTGCCTTTATAACAATCCCAATGAAAAGCCAGCCATACTTCCCCATATGATCCACGACCAAACCTCTTCTTTAGTACATAGCTGGTAAGACCAAGAAAGATAAGGTGCCTTAAATACAAGAAAAGGCATCAATTTCACATTAAAAGTAAGTCTATTAAAGCATAGATAAGGCCCTGAGCGCACAAATGTATGAATGCAGGGAATAGATTGGGGAAAGAAAAACAGACTACAATTAGATAATGGAGCATTTCAATCAAAGAAATTATCCATACCTCAAGTTAGGAATATCATATTCAAAGGATCCGTTCCCCAAACCAGCATCATGAAAAGGAATCGATTCAAGAAAACCAACAAAACTAGCAAAACCATCAGGGTTTATGCACTGATTTTTAGCTCCATCAACAGTCACTCCAAGACTAAAGCACAATTCGTGGTCATGATATAAATTTACAGATCCACCTAAAATAAAAAAGAATTATAACCAGACTCATCTTAGTGAATACGACATACCAACATGCACAGTATTATCAATTTATAATATAAATTCATTGGATTCCATTTCTCAGCAGTATCTGCTTGTAACTCCGGCCTACAAGTACTGATACATTAAGAGTGGAGGAATTCAAAGATGAAGTTAAATGGATAAAATATATAGCAGACAAGCTCAAACAGCTTCTCAATCCAAATGTCTGGAGGGAGAACCCCACACACACATGCACACACAGGATTTTACCGGCCCGTGATATTTAATAGCAGACTAACATGCTATTAACACCTTCACTTACTAAAATGGTGGTCAAGGGACCCGGGAAGAGCCTTAGGTACATCATAATCTTCATAGTCAACCTTTTCAGTTTGCAATGCATAATGTTCAGCAAGGTTCTCGAATAAATAAAAGCAGCCAATATAGGCATGTTTCCCTTCTACCTAAAAAACGAAAAGCAGCAATATCATGCCTTTAAACTTTGCAACAACAAACTAATCTATAAATGATCTAATTAGTTCACATTGCCTGAAGAATAAATACTTTAATAAACTGAAACTGTTGTCAGGGAGTTTTAATTGCTGGCCTTGATGGAATTAACCAATCAGACAAATTAGACAACTTGAAACAGAATATCAGTCTGAGAAAATTTTTAATTACTTGAAAGTAAAGAAGACAATAATTCTCCAGCAAGTTGGAACTGAAAATGTTATAATATATATACATAATTAATATAAACTAGCATCGTGTGCCTTCAGCCTTACCAATAACCTCTCAAACTTGGTCATAACTGGATGGGCACGCTTCACTTGGACAATGTCAGGAGTGATCTCATTGACTGACCAAGAAGACAAGAAATAATGAGTGCATAAACATGATATAACAATATGAAGAAAAAACACACTGATCAGCCCTCAAAAAATTTGAAATTCAATTTTGTACATTTACAATTTGGCAGAAAGGTTAAACAATAGGTTACCTGAGAAATCGTATATTGACTTTTGTAACCCTAATGCTGGGAAGCCTTTGTCTTCCTCTTTGTTTAATCGTTCCTTTGGCAGGCTCTTAGAGAAACCCGTAGAGGCTAAGGGAACAACAACAGCTGCCACATTATCCATACTGCCCTTTTCAAAAGCCATATTTACTATGCAGTCAGCTAATGAGTACAAACAGGAAGTAGAGAGCTTTGATCTACGAGGACCATGATTCTCTATTTCCCATGTCAGATCACAAACATCCTGCAAGCTTAACTTCTCAAAAATTCCATCAGATGTAGCCACCAGATAGCTATCATTTGCAGTCAGTGGCCGCCAATCTGTCACTTCTGGTGCAGATATAACACCATAACTGGTTCAAATTCAGCATAAAAAATGAATGAGCTTTATGTCCCAAACCCAATAAGATGGTTGGATGATAAAATTCAAGAAATAAACTAACCATGCTTAAGAGGGGAGGAAGAAAATTAGATGCTAATCACTGCTCGTGAACCTCACCTTTTAAAGGACACATCACCAATAGCCCGAGAAACAGCTAGCTGACCATTTACTCGAGGAACACCACCCCAATCAACAACATAACCACCAGCATTTTCCACGCGCAATCTTTCATCATCTCTGTTGGGGTGATGATCCTTTGTTAATTCTTCCACAGAAAAATGCACCAGTTCACTGGAGGAAGCCAGTCTAAAGTGATCATTATTTCTTACACGTGATACAGCACCATTATGTCTTTCCTGCCTATATAACCTTAAATAAGTGCCTGCAATACAACCAACAAAACATGAATAACGTCTATCATGTCTTTACTTTCCAAATTCATGTGCAAAACCATGCAAAGATTATTATTTAAAAATAAATAAATAAAAAAAGAAGAGAGACAGAGACAGAGACAGAGAGAAATAATCAGGCACTCAGTATGAGTAGGAGGTTGAAAAATAAAACGTGTGAAACTAATAATAAAATAAAATAAAACAACTGTGTGAACTAGCAAAGTTCTATGATATGACCATGGCACGGAAAACAACTGTGTAAAAATTGACAAACACCTAATTTCAAAGCCAAAATACTAACCTTTGGCCTCTGTAGGAGACTGGAATTTTTCGGAGCACAAAAAGGCCTTCGAGTCTCCAATATTGGCAACTAAAATTTGACCATCTGCTAATAGAACAACTGTGGCTGTTGAACCTGACTCTAAATTTTTTCTAGCTGCTTCCTTCATAACCCAATTGGATGGAATCAACACAAGATCAAATTCATGGCATACTATACAATAATAATAATAATAATATAAATAATAAATAAAAGGGAAGAACAATCATGAAAGTTGAAACGGCAAGCCTAACATGCCTTTGAAAATGTTGCATCAATGTCATGGATTGCTCTCAATAATGCTTCCTTCAGAATTTCCAAGTGAGAAGAATGGATAACATTTTCTGGCAGTGAATGCTTAGACCTGGAGTCCATTTGTAAATGTCAGACATATCTTATGAAGTAAGGCAATTCAATTAAAAAAAAAATCCAGAGAACATACAAAAGTAAGGCAATTCAATTCAATGCCGAACCATATTTCTTCTGCCCACAGAAAGACAGTGTCCCAATAGTTACAGAGAGCAAAGAAGGCAGAAATTCAAGTGCATAGATTATATAAAGTTGCAGCTAGTAAGTGTATAGTGAAAGTTCACTTCACACGGAAGCCAAACATCTTTTACTATTCTAATTATCTTAAAAGATGAAAATCACAACGCTGAGAGAACACTTTAAGGATCCTGTAATCTAAAAAAACATTCCTTCACATCTACACATACACACAAAACCGCTATGCCAGTAGGTTAACAGAGAAAAGCACCTTCCACGATCCAACTCATAATGACTCAGCACTTCATCCCAAATAAGCGATTGAAAGACAGTATCACCATCTCTATTATTTAGCAGTCTTCCCATGGATCTCTTGAATACAGCAGAATATGTTGCATCGAGAAGAAAATAAGTATGTAAAAAGAAATATTCCAACAAAAGCTTTGAAGCCATCTCACTAGCTTCGGCGCCGTTATGACCATCAAAAACAGCCACAACTCCAACGATTACCTCCTTAAGCCCTACAGCTCCTGCACCAAGTATTTTACACATTAGAAGAACCTCTTGCTGACATGAAAAACCAAATGCGAGTTTCTTCCAACTTTTCTACCCTAATTTTTTCTCTGGGACGGAATTTAGCTTCTTAGCAGGAAAGAAAAGCCACATTTGAGTTCTATCTGATAAATTTTCCATATATACGACATGAAGATTAAAAAGCAGAGAAACAAATCACGCACTAGAGCATAAAAACCTAACAAAAAGGATTCAAATTTTACACTTCAGAATCGGCGTACTCATTGATTCGTAGAAATAAGCCAAAAATCCAATCGGCTCGAAACGATTTATGACGAAACCCTAACCCGAAAGGAAAGCACCAAATACACACTGTGAAACCATAATCGCGCACATACAGAGCGAGAGAGAGAGAGAAAATTTTCATAGTACCGGGGAAGGGGATGCGAAGATCGAGAGCGCATAGAGCTCGATCCTCCTGAGCGTATCTGCGACCTTGAAGCATGGCCAATTGGCATCGCTCGGTGCTCGACGAATGGGAAGCGTAATCGGAAAGCTTCCAGCGAGGGCATTTTGGGGATTGAAAAACCGCCGGAGCACCGCCTTCTCTGTAGAGCGTCAGGCACGTCGACGATTCGGCGAAAGCGCGCGTCGGTAAGGCGAGCAGAAGCCCTAATAGGAGTAGAAGGAAAATCGAAGCCTTCAACCATGTCTTCCTCTTCATCGAATTGAAGAATTCAAAGAAAAACAAAATGTTATTCTTCTCGAATCGCGTAGAATTGTTGTTGATGGAAATTGATTAATCCGTGGGCGTTGGATTTGGAGGGAGATCCTTCCCGTTCCTTTCCCTCCAAAAACAGAAACAGTTCCTTTTTCCTCCTTGCTTTCAGCACGTAAAAACAGACTTGAGATTTTCTTAAAAATAAAATAAAAAATAAAATCTAAAAATTCTTTATTCATTTCCTGTCGCAACTCAATTTTTATTATTATAATATTTTTTTTATAAAAATTTAAATTTAATTTTTATTACAATATTAAAAACAAAATAAAATAAAATAAAACATTCTTCATATAACAAATGCTAAAGAATATTGAACTACCTCTACGTAATTTTTTAGAATAGTTATTAAAAACGTGAAAATTATTTATTATGGATTTTTGAAAAAAAATAATTTAGAATTTAGAATATGATATGTGGAGTGTGTGGAGGGAAAAAACACTCTATTAGTTCCCTTTTGTAATAAAACTGATTACATAATTAAGTTAAGTCTATTGTTTTTTTTGTCATTTTATTTAATGGCCTTTTTTTAACAAGAAATTATTAATTTGAAAGGATGTAGAGAGCAAAATAAGAAGTGTGAATAGAACTACACAAATAAAAATTACACGAAAGAAAAATTATAATTAATATAAAAATGTAAACATGATAATTCACATGTAAACATGACAATTAATGTATATACTATTTTTCATTTCAATTAAAAAAAATTGATCATTATGTTGTTTGTTACACATTTCGATCACATTCCTTTTCTTAAAAGAGTAAGAGCGTTTCCTTTTTTTAAAAGAGTAAGAGCGTTCTTTTTTTAAAAAAAAAGAGTAAGAGCGTTTTTTTTTTTTTTTTAAAGAGTAAGAACGTTAGGTTGTTATTTTCATTTTTTTTTTTTT